AAGTGGAAATCAATGGAATAGATCCAGCTTTCAAATAAACACAGTGAACTCTTTTTCATTTACATCTTACTGTCTCAAAATTTGATTTGCGAGCTTCTTAACTAAGGTTAAAAGGGATATTGAGGTAGCAATCTATTACAACGGCAAAATAAATTGAGATATAGACTGATATAAGATAAATCTCAAAAATTTATTATGAGTTATCAGTTAAAACAAGGATCTTCTAATCTTAGTTGTCTCTAACAAACCCTTCTAGTTCAGGTGGTCCTGTAGCGGTGTAACTTTGTAGAAAATTGAATTTGAAACGAACTGTATGTATAAAAAGTTAAAATTCGGTATTGAAAAGATAGCAGCGTAAAAAAGCTCAAAACATGGAATTTATATTTAGAAGAATTTAGTGATGAAGACTTTGCGTAAGATCAACCATAAATTTGAGCGTACTTAGGCTTTAATTTTGTCCTATGATAGATTCTACTTTTTTTCATTTACTTATGAAACTGCAACTTTACTGCAGCCTTATTATCTCAGAGTGCAATCTCTGTCACTTTCATTTTGCATGAGCAAACAGAAACTCGTGACATTCTTTTGACGATGTCCACACTCTAAATTTAAAATCTTCTTTTCAAATCACTTTTTTTCTTTCTTACGGACGTTTTTTCTTTGCTGGCAAAGCTGATTAAACTTTGCAGCTTTTCGCCTCCTTTGCTGAATATTTAAAATTGCAAAAGTTGAGCCGGTGAATTTAGGAAGAATTGCAAGATTAATACTGAATAGTCATAGTTGAATATCATAAAATATGTTGTTACATAGATGTTATGAGTCAGAACCACACATGGTATCAACCACATGTAGTTTTTCTAACTCAAATTTGTTTCGAATTTATTCAGAGCAAGAACCAGTGATGCCGGCACAGCAGATGGCCTTCATTCCACAGAATCCCTTGTTCATTCCACCGGATACGCCACCGGCAACTCATCGTAAGAGAAAGCCAATTCCCTCTTGATTATAGATAACATTTGTTCTAGCAAATGCCGGATTTTATCTGATTCCCGCATCTGGCGGTTGGATGCCTCCGATGATTCCCGGAATGCCCCCGAATCCATTCATACCTCAACCGCTGATTAATCCGGAGGCGGTGCTTATGCGGCAGAGGAGTTTGAAAAAGGTACATATGAATCATAAGAAAGGAAATGACTAATGATCGTATTGTTTCATTTGCAGCCGAATCAGACCAAATCACTACAGTTGCGGCATGAAATGATCATTCGTAACAGCGATTCTGGGAAAATTATGGGAGTGAAGGGAAGAAGAGTGGCTCTTGTGGAGCAGATGACAAATACCGTTATCAGCTTCCAGAAGGTAGGATTCGTAAATTCCCTTGAAGCCGAAAAATATGGAAATTTATCTTAAGGTGGATTCTAAATGCAAGGAAAGAACACTAACAATAACAGCTTCTTCTATGGAAGATATTGAGAG